CGCTCCCTACACTGCTGCTCCACCTCCCAAGTAGCCTCACCAGTAGCTGCATCCCACAACACGTTCACCAGAGCAATGGACTTGCCCCTCAACTCCTTCAACTTATGATCAATCACAGCTACTGGCAACTTCTCAAAGGTCAGATTCTCTTTTACTTGCACATCGTCTAGCTCCACCACATGACTTGGGTCATGAACATACTTCCTCAGCTGGGATACATGAAATACATCGTGTAGGTTTGAAAGAGATGGTGGCAAAGCCAACCGATAAGCAACCGGACCCACACGTTGTATTATCTGATAGGGACCGACAAACCTCGGTGTCAACTTCTTTGCTCTCAGCGCTCTACCCACACCAAAGGTCAGAGTCACCTTCAGAAACACATGTTCCCCCTCAGTAAACTCCAAAGGCTTGCGCTTCTTGTCAGCATACGACTTCTGCCTACTCTGAGCAGTCTTCATCCTCTCCTGAATCATCTTCACCTTCTTAGTAGTTTGCAGGATCAGCTCCGGTCCCACAACCACTGACTCACCATCTTGATACCAGCATAGAGGAGTCCTACATCTTCTGCCATACAATGCTTCAAAAGGCGCCATCCCAATGCTAGCATGAAAGTTGTTGTTATAGGTGAACTCAACCAACAGTAGAACCTCCTCCCAGCTACCCAAGTGGTCTAACACACAAGCCCTAAGCAGATCCTCCAAGGACTGGATTGTCCTTTCTGACTGACCATCCGTCTATGCATGATAAGCAGAGCTCAACTTCAACTTCGTGCCTAAGGCTTGGTGTAGACTCTGCCAAAATCTGGAAGTGAACCTCGGATCTCTGTCTGAAATAATACTGGAAGGCACCCCGTGCAATGACTACAAACCCCTAATTAGAAGATTATGTGTAGATTGTTGTAATTGCTATAGAACTGTTTTCCATTTAGAAGAGCATGTCATTCATTTTTTTCAAAAAAAATTGGTTACTAATGTTTAACCTTGTGCAGATGAAATTATGCATTTGACTTGCTGCTTTTCCAATATTTTTCATCTCATAAAATTATCAGGATTGCAATTGTTTCAGATTTCCATTGAAAGCCGTTAAAGTTATGCATGTGGTGGCCCTTAGGAATGAATCCAGTGTTCAAAGTGGTGTTGCTTATCCAAGTCAATTGAGTTCCCATGAAGTATGTGCTTGATTAAGAAATAAGGCAGTTTTGGCGTGTTGTTTCACGTGTGGAGGATTTATTGCTGTATTTTATTGATAATTGATGACATCCTAAAATCTAATTACTTCTTGTTTACTTGTTGACAGAGCCATATGGGAGGAATGTTTGCTTTCCATGCGACAACAATGTCTAACACTCTTAATACTCCTATTATTGTTTTCACAAGAACAGGATCCATGGCTATTCTTTTGAGCCATTATAGGCCTTACTCAACTATCTTTGCATTCACTAATGAGTAAGCATTAACAGGATTTTTTTATTTTATATTTCTTTTTGTGTTTGTTTTAATTATGTGCTGTGAATTCACATGCATCTAACCTGAAAATAAACTTTTGTTGATGAAATTTCCCTGTACTTTGGTTGTGTCTGAGCTATTTTTCAGGAGGAATAGTACTTGTTTATGTTTTGGAAAATAAATAGAAAATTTTCTGGGCTTGAGCATATGTATGATACTATCTTGAGAAAAGTCAAGCATCTCTCTTGCTAACTCAAGTATTTTTCAGATTATCTAATTTGTTAGAGTTATCTTGATGCATTTTTTGTGTATGATATGAACTAACTAATGATAATTCTTTTGACATACATTTTTCCTTCTTTTTTTTTTCAAATTTAGTCTTCTACAATTTTTTCTTTAGCACTTTTGATCAACCTGGTTCAATTCCTGGAATCCTGGTAGATGAAATTTTATCCTATCCTAGCCCGGAAAAAAAAATAAAAATGAATACACTACAGGAAGAAAAAAGAATGAAGCATAAGACTCTGAAAGCTACTGAACATAGGCAGTGATTTTTTTTTGTCTTTTTCTGCTTTCTAATTTTTGGATGGTGGTATAGGTGCTTTAAGTTAATGTTCTATTGCACCCACAAATTTATGATTTCACTATTCGCAGGGCTAGGATTAAGCAGAGGTTGGCGCTTTATCATGGTGTTATGCCCATATACATGCAATTTTCAAATGATGCAGAGGAGACTTTCTCTAGAGCCCTCAAACTACTAATGGTTAGTAAGAACTCCCTCACATGCACAAATATTCCTTTTCTTGATAGTTTTTCTTTTTAATGTTGCTGAAAAGTCTCCATATTTTAGAGTAAGGGTCATTTACACGAGGGACAGCATGTTACTCTTGTTCAAAGTGGAGCACAACCAATCTGGCGTGAGGAATCCACTCACCATATACAAGTTCGCAAGGTTCATAGATAAATTTTTTCTTTCAAGGGTCTTTATTTCTCATAAGTGTACAGTTTTTTATTTCCCTTCCTCGCTCTCTTTTGTAATTATTATTCTTACACTGAATTATAGTTATGGTGTTATTAGGCACGTGAAACACCAAAGTTGGATAGTAAAGGAATTTTCATATTGCAAATAGTGATTTATTGACGAGGAATTGCCATAGCCTCCATGAAGTTCTTTTATAACTATGTATTCTTTTAACATACTTTTTCATCTTGATATTTTATCTTGGCTTAAAGAAATCACATTGACCTATTGCTGTTTGTGGAACTATTGTGGCATAATAGATTTGGCAGCTTCATGCATAGGACCATCCTTTATAATTTACTTACATCTGTTTAACTTGTTTCAACTTTATTACCTTTCCCAGTTTTTGGTCTATACATTTGAAAGGTGACGTTATCATTCCAAATATGACAAAAGAATGAAAGAAGAACAAGATAATTTCTGCAACGTCCTACTTAATAAAGCAGAAAGTGACCAAAAAGATATATCTCTTATGCCGGATAATGTATGTCATGTCCTACTTTATTAGTACCTTTCTTTCACCTTAATCCCATTTTGATTATGCAAATTTTGATTCGGTTGACCCTAAGCATTGCCTGTTAAATCCTCTGGTTGTTTCGACAAATCTTCCAAATATTGATTTGCTGCTGAGGGAGCTGTTGGCACCCATAAAAGCATTTTGTAAATTTCTTAGATCACATATTTATGTTGTCTTTTTTTGCAAGTGATCTTATACAGAAATTATTCCGTCAAATAATTGCCAGCAATATTAAGTTAATGCTTTATGCTGTTCTTTGCGAGTGATCTTATATAGAATTCTTTGCCTTTCCACATTGCTGTAGGAATGACATTGGGTACACCACTGCCAATTCTTAATTTGTTTGGTTGATTGGCTCAATCACCTAAATCTAAATATATCAGAAAATCCCGACTACAAATTTCTCTTTCTGTGTCTCTTTCAAAATATTGCATTCGTTTGTGGATTGTCCATGAGTGTATTGTTTGTTTACGGACAGAAATTCTAGGGTTAACTTTGGGGAGGGAAGCTTAGCTAAGTTCTGTAAATAGTCGGAACCATGTCACACTTGGAAATCCACATAGCATATTTAACTTCATCTTTAACAATGGAACTTACAAATGAGAAAGAAAGGAAGTTTCTAGGGACCCTAAAACAGTCATTGTCTCGTCAAAGTTTAGTTTTATACAACTGGGCTTCATGAACATATTTAAGCCTTAAAAACAGTGAGCCAAGTTGTAAGAGAGTCAAAGACTCGTGTAAGAAGGGCTTCTCTTTCCGCAAACCTACAAACTATTTCTTCTAACAGCAACTATAACCAACATTATTTTGACTAGTTGCTCCTTTCTTTCTCTTATTAATATATGCTGTTACCATTGCCTTTCCATGATGTCCCTTGCAAATTATACTCCTGGCTCATCATTCTCTTCAGGTTTTCCACCTAGCTGTATACTCTTGTACCATTTTGCACATGCAATATAGGCGATCATGTCTATTGATGTCATGGCGGCTAAGAGGAAGTAAAACCTATCTAAGTGACCTTTGTTGAGGTTTCCAGGGATCCATCCTGGCATGTGATCCTCGGTGGAGATCTTCATAACCATACTAACAAGTATGCTACTCACATAGTTCCCAAGAGAAATGGATGTCATGCAAAGTGCACTTCCAAAGCTCTTTAAGCCATCTGGTGTCTGAGCGTTGAAGAACTCCAACTGGCCTACGTACATGAAAACCTCGGAAGCTCCTATAAATGCGTACTGAGGGATTTGCCAGAAGATGCTTAAAGTGCTCGTGTCATTGCAGTGGATGCAACCTTTTTTTGCATACTTGAGCCTATAGCATTCAACTATTCCAGCCGAAACCATTGCCAGTACAGCTATAACAAGTCCAACTCCCATTCTCTGAAGCTCTGTAAGACCCTTGGAATCTGTCTTTTTAAGTTTACCCACAAACGGATCAAGAACTCGACGGTAAAAGAAAATGAAAACTGCCACACTGAGGATATCAAAGCTAGACATGCTAGCTGGTGGTATTTTGAAGTGCGAAATTGTTGTTTTCATGGCAGCACCTTGCTCTACAAAAAGCGAAGCCATTTGTGTGAAAACCACCGAGTATATTATGGTGCAGAGCCAAATTGGAAGAAGTCTCAGTATGCATTTCACTTCTTCAACTTGACTTACAGGACAGAGACGCCAGGGGTTGTTACCAATCTCTTTCTGGTCCTCCAGATCCCTTGAAGTTATCAACGCTGCCCTATCCAAGAACCTGCAATACAGTAACAAATGGCAAATTGATCAAACCGCTATTGCTCAGTACAATCAAGAATGGTCAACAATACTGAAAACCTTTTGTGTTTGATTTGTAGCAAAATGATCGTATAAATACAGGAAAAGCTTTTCATGCACCATGCAGCCTCAGTTACATATGAATACATTCAGTGTGGTTTCAGCTGAAAGGAGCCCCCATTACTTACTTGAAACCGCTAGTGTAGAGAATCTTTCTGTTGTTATTGTTGGAAGGCTCCTTCATATCCATGTCATACAAGTCCTCTCCATTTGATAACATTTGAAATTTGGATTTCCTTGATGCAGCCACGAGGACTTGGCTAAACCTGGAGAGAGGGTTACCACTGGGTTTGAAGTGTCTATACCTCGGGGTGCCTGCAAGAAACAAGACCAGTGCGGCAAAGGCACAGCCTGCAGACACCCAGAAACCAAGAGCCCACATTCCTTCATCCTCGTAATAGACCAGAATGGTGTTTGAGAAGAGTTGGCCAATGTTAAAAGCTAGGTAGAAGTAGCTAAAGAAGGCCACCTTAGAGTGACCCTCCGTTGAGTGCTCCTCATCATACTGATCAGCCCCAAATGTGGCAATAGTTGGTTGATAACCTCCATTCCCCAAGGCAACCAGATAGATGGAGAGGTAGAACATCGCCATCTCCCATCTTGAATGTTTCCCACAATGAAGTAATTCATTCCCACAACCTTTAGGCTTAATCAAGAAGAGGTATGAGGACAGGGATAAGGACATTAGACCCTGTCATGTTAAGCCAGAAAGCTTCATTGATTAGTCAAGGAGTTAATGCTACAGCTAGGAATTAAAGAGAAAGATTATGAACGAGAGGGGAGAAAATGGAGGCATTACTTACTATAACAAAGATGACCTGAAAGACAGCACAAGTTTTATATCTTCCCCAATAAGAGTCACTGAGGAAAGCACCCACAAGAGAGAAGATATAAACTGTTCCGGTCCACTTGCTCACATTGTTAGCAGCTTCAGCATTATTTTGTCCTACCACCCTTGTCAGGAACAGCACTAGGTTCACTCCGATCCCAAAGAATGCAAGGGTTGCTAGTCCTTGGTTCACTGATTTATACAATCAACAAATTACAGAACAAGAAGCATTAGCACCATCTTCTCGATTCATTGAACCACGTGAATTACATACATTCGCATGCATAGTTGATAATTGTGCATTTATATCTATAGGCATTACGCACTGATAAGTATCTGCTTCAGTATCCGAGGTTGTATGTGTATGATTCCACATCGCAAAAGTTAAAAACTTTCCAAGACAACTTCAGGATCATCTGCTAAAGTTCCTTTTAAAAGCCGGTATAGCATAGAAATATATGAATTTTCGTCGGAAATAATCAATGTATAGCCTTACTCAGATGGTGCAGTAAAAGTTGTAAAGGAGGTTTTTTTTAAAAATTAATAATAATAAGAAATGTTATCAATGCACATTTAAGTCGATTCCATCAGTTAGTCTTCACTACAATGGAATAGGATTATCAACATAGCTTTGGTGTGTACTTCTTAATGTTTTTTCATTAAAAGCTTTTAAAAAGTTGTGATAACTATATAAGTTTTAAAAAAATGAAAATTTTGCTTTATTATTTTTATGATAAAAATAATAATTATCAAAAAGTATGAAAAAAATTGTCGCATAATTATTTTTTGAATTAAAAAAAAAGGTACTATAGGTATGTTAGAATTTGCCTTTATATAAAACAATCGAATTAGTATTGGTTTAACGTGTTAGATAACACTTGGAAAGATTGGATTTATAAATAGAATTTATTTTTAAAACTTAAACTGTAATTTTAACTATTTTTTTTTTTCGAAAAGGAATAACGTGATTTTCATATTATGATTCCTGAATTCACTTGTTGACTCTCGTTCGTATCCTCATGTTGCAGGCAAAAGACACTTTTTCCGTTTAGCATGATAGTTTTTTTTTTTTTTTTTTTTTTTAATAATATGAAGATGTACCTACAAACTTATTTATAACACATAAAACTTTTTTTCCTTCGCACAAATGCATATATATATAAATAAAAAATAAATAAAATAAACATGGTAACACAATGTACCCAAAAAAAAAAAAGGTAACAGCTGAAACTTGCTTTATTACAATACTACAATATTTTTTTAAAACGTATATTATTACAATACTATTATTACAATATTATTTTTTTATACAGATATTAACTAATAGAAAACTCAAAACATATTAAAATAATGATAATATATATATATATATATATATATATATATATATATAATTATATAAATTT